GGCACGACTCTCCATTCTCGGGGGAGGGGCGTTCCGAGGCAGCTGTCCCTCTCTCCCGTGTGTGCTGCTGGCGCCATTGGTGGCTGTCACGGTAGAGACGCCCCACGAGGGGGGCCCCCGTGGGCCTGGCGGGGGCGTGACCCCCACGGGCGGCGTGGCGTGGCGTGACGTGACGTTGGCGGGGGGCGAGGCGGGGTGGGGGCAGGGCGACCGAAATTTGATGTATCGGCGCCGTCCCGAATGTAGCCGAACGAGCCTAGCCGCTGACAGATCCGCGCGCGACACGCCGACACCTGGACACCTTGGCGGCGCCACCACATCGGGGGGAACTATCCGGGGAGCCCGAGGCACTAATACCATACTGAATTGTTCCCTCAGAGTGAATGACGTGCAAAACAAAACAAAAAAAAAGTAAAAAGCACTCAAATAATAAGGGGATGAATAAAATTGAAACTCCGCATCGCTTAGTCGTAAGGCATTATTGTAGCGAGCTGAAAGGGGTGCGTATAGAAAATGCGAAGCGAAGGACCTATGAATATAAGTTAGGTAACCCTCAACTCCCCATCCACACCCCACGCTCTATCACAATTTAACGCAGTAACCTTAGAGCTCCTCTCTCCCTCTCCCTCTGTCGCGCTCCCTCACCCCACTCTCCCCGTCTCCCTTCTCATACTTTTTCTTCCATCTTCTCCCCACTCCGCTCCGGGCCGGACATGGTGTCAGATCGGTTACGGCGGATTGGAGATTGGCCTGTGCGCAATCCCTCTCCCTTATTCCTTTGACTTTCTCTCTCCCCCCCTTATACGATATCCATAACCCAACCGTTGACGAGAAAAATGGAGTGGAATGAAAACAAAACGGTTATTTCAATGTATTATATCCATTGAATTGGGAAAATTATTTTAACCAAAATTCGGGAAACGACATGTGAAACCGGGACACCTTTATTACAGCAGGCGCAGGATACGCTCATCGGGCTGCCGGGCGGTTTGACTTTCTAAAGAGGAAGGGCCAGAGCTACGGAAGGACAAAAAGTCGGCGTGACTAAAGCCACAAAACAAATACAAAACAAAATAGTAGAGGGAGGAAAATTTGCCACGAACGCGCGAGTGAACCGTGTAGAATATCAACTATAGTAAAGCAGACACTCGTGAGCGCCAAGTAATGGGAATCAGTCTAGTAAAATACGGACGAATCAATAAGATGGTGACGACTGATTGAATTATCGGACACGATAATGGCATCGACGAACGAAGCTGTTATTGTAGTGCTCGCCTCATGCGTTGTGCAACTGCAGCCTCCATGCTGGTCGCGCCGGGCCTCTCGGCCGGCCCGGCCGCCGCGGGCAGCCATTGGCGGCCGTCGCACAAAGGACGCAATGGGGTCCTCGGCTCCGGACAATAGCGCAATTCCAGACCACGACCCCAAAGGAGGAAGAGGAGGAGGAGGAGGGGAGTGGAGGCGGCCCTGGCAGAGGATGAATGGCGGAGTGTGTAAGTGTGTGTGAGAGGGGGGGGGGGGTCCTCCTCGCCGTTCCATTTGACTGGACGTTCGAAGTGTGTTTGTGTGGGGGCCTGGGTGTTACCCTAAAGGCATAATATATGAGGGACAGAAGCGGAGAGACGGCAAGAAAATGTGTAGGAAATTAGTAGGTGTTTGTCAGCAGGTCGTGGGAATATTGAGGGTTTTTAAAATTGAAATCGCGTTTGGGTGTGCAGCAGACTGGACTGAGGGGCTGATATTGAGCGCGTCCCGTGTGATGCTGCCGGCTGTCCGTCCCCGAGTCAGGGAAGATTGCAGCCCTCTGTCAACAAACCGATGAGGGAGACGGTGTAGGCCACTGCTTAGGAGTGGTAATCCGGCTCGGGCGGGGTGAGGTGGCGCGGGGCGGCTAACGCGCGGATCACACGCGCGGGCACGGCGTAAGGGAGGGAGCGGCGCGGGGCGCAGCAGCGGCCTGTCGTCTGCAATGGCGACAGTTGGCTGCACTGACGCACAGCAGCCTGCGCGAATCAATTATCAGCGCCAACGATCGGGACACTGAAAAAAATAACTGACATTGTTCAACGTGTGACACGCCGCCCGGTGACATGTTAGTTACGGGAGGTAGTGCCGCGTGGGTTGCCTAAAGACTCTTGCCACTAGTTTTAAGAATGGCCGAAAAGAATTAATTGTTCAAACTGAACTGTTGAAAAAATTAATCTAAAAATTCATACAATTTTGTCTGAAGCAAAATTACATATACTTAGTCTAAAGAAAAGACCTTAAACATTTGTGTTACGAGTAATATATAGCATACATGTCGCACACCTCAGGAAAGATCACACTCTCAATCTGTTTGGGAGAGGACATCCCTTCTAAGATAGGCGGGCGCCTAACTTCCGTCCGCCCTTCTAACAGTTGGGTGCGAAAACGGTCCTGAGATAAGCGCCACGCCGCGTGATACAAGACGCTGTTATTCCTCCTCCCCTTGACATTTTTCATCTAGGCACATTCATCGAGAACACTGGTGCGAACCGGTGCGAACCAGCAGGTAGGTATGCCTAAAGACCAAGCGCGTAGCTCGACGCCTGGCGGGTAGGCACCCGGAGAACACCAGTGCGCAACGGGGGTGCCCAACGACCAGGCGCGTAGCTCGGCGCCTGGCGGGTAGGCACCCGGAGAACACCAGTGCGCAACGGGGGTGCCCAACGACCAGGCGCGTAGCTCGGCGCCTGGCGGGTAGGCACCCCGAGAACACCGGTGCGGAGCGGGTATGCCTAACGACCAGGCGCGCAGCCCGGCGACGACACGGCTGGCAACGGGGCTCGGCTGAGCGGCACGCCCGTCGCCGTCCAGGAGGGTGGCGACAAGATTTATGGCGGGAATATGCAAATTGGGCCGCGTGGCGCCCCACAAGCGCTCAACAAGCTGGGCGGTTCATCCACCAGCCAACCAGGCCCATCTGTTGAGCCGGACGCAAAATTTATAGAGTAGAACTGACACACACATCACCAACCACCACCACCCAGAAAAAAGTAAAAATAAAAATGAACATTTTTTAGAGGTTTAAATTTAGATGAGAGGTATTTTGGTGGTAGCAGGTACGCTGTGACCGGACAACGCATACTCATACACCAGAAGAGTCCAAGAGCTCCGCTGCTGGAGGGAGGGGCTTAGGTGGGATGCGCGCGCAGGGCGTGGCGGCGCGGAGGCGGGGCTGGGGCGGGGCCTCCAGCAAGTGGGTGGGGAGGGAGAGAGGGAGATAGAGAGAGACGGGACGACAGGGAACACCGCGGGTAATTGGGAGCTGCTCGGGAACAGGGAGCGGAATGGAAATAGCTGTCCAGGCCGCGCAGTGGTCATGACGTGGCGGAGAGTGGCGGAGAGTGGCGGAGAGTAGCGTGCTTGGCCGCGGCGCTGGGCGTGCCTGGGGTTGACGCCCTCGCGGATAGTTCCGCTTAGGAGGAACAGCTTGGTGTGTCGTCCTGTGAGGAGGGCGGCTTTTAAAGCAGCATTGGGTCCGCGCAATAACGGAGCGGGGAAAGGGCAGTTGCATGGGGTTGCAAAGGCAAGAGGCCAAAGGGGCAAAATTGAAAAAACCAAAACAGACTGTAAAACGCTTAATTAGACATAAAGCCGACCGGGTTCCTCCTGCTCGCCGGCGAGACAGAGTGACATCCAGTCCGGGTGCTTGATCGAGCTGCACCGCGGGCTGCACCTCAGTCGCAGCCGCACCCCGTACGTGCTGATGCAGCGCACGGTCCTGGGTCGATGCCGCCTCCCCCGCCCCCAACCCCCGCCCCCGTTGCGTGCGGCCGGCGGGCGGGCTGGCTTATCTTGATGGACAAATTGGCATGTCTGGATAAGCAGTAAGCACCTCACTTCACTTTCATTAGCCCCCCAGGCCGGCCCAGCGCCGGGCCCAGCGTCGGGGGGAGGAGCGCCATAGCCTTCAATTTGTCGCTGTTGTTGGGGCAGTCCGCGCGGCGTGGCGTCGTGTCACCAAGACACAGCGCGCGACCAGATTCCACGCGAAAGATTGTACAGAAATAGCGGGGCAAAAAAAAAAAAGAAAATTTAAAGGAAAAGTCCTGCGGGGGGTCTTACGTACGCGACGCGGTGCCGACACGGCCCAGGCTTTTATTAATTACTTCCATGAATGCTCACTGCTTTGCGGCCGCTGCTCGCGCTCAGGAAGGAAGAATGAAATATTACAACGCGACACGCTCTTTTTATGTTTATTCCGTGCTTTCTTTTAGCTTGTCCATTTACCCCC